ACAGATATGCTCAGTGCGTGGAACACAGCATGTGTTTAGCAGCACATTACATGCAGAAGCAGAAAAAACAGCATTTACCATCATATTTAAAGATTTGCTGAGTCATACAAAGACGGCCAGTCATTTCTTTCCAAGAGTTTCTTAAAAGCTGTTGGTCGTAGTGATGTTTGGGTTAAATCATAAGATATCTCTATATTTGTGAACTTGTAACCATTAGAGGTCTTCCAATGTGTTTCTAATAGGGCCATGTAGACCATAAACCAACCATAAACCGGGTTTAAAGCGTGGCTCACTCTTTCCTCTGTCTGTGTGCTTCACAGGGGGTCCAGAGACTCCACTGATGGAAGCCAAGCAGCAGACGGGGGTCCAAAGGAGGGGTCCCGCTGGCCGGAGCAGGACTGTATGCAGCTCAACCCAACCTTTCGAGGCATCGCCATCAACTCTCTGCTTGCCATTGACATCAGCCTCTCTAAACGTCTTGGGATGTGTGTGGGGTCTCATGGCCCCGGGGCCCCGCTGCGCTCTATGGTGACTCTGCTGGCCCTCACAGGACACGCCCTGCCCTGGATCTTTGGGACTCTGATATGTCTGTGGCGGAGCAACACGCTGGCTGGACAGGAAGTCCTTGTCAACCTGCTGCTGGGTGAGACTCCAGAGAGACCTTCAGTCTATAATGTCTCTCTCTCTCTCCTGTCTCAAACCTTCAACCTGCCTGGCCCCTAATGCTTGACCTGTCAGTAACTGCATCTCTTGACACCCAACTCATCTGTCTTTATTGCCCAATCTGTCTATGGCTTCTAACAGCTGGTCCATTAGCATATGTTGCCCTTATTCTGTCCCAGTCTTTTCCTCCTGTCATTTACCTCTGGCCTGTTTATCTCTGCGGCTCCTAATGTTTGACCTGTCTGATTGTCATGCTAACACCAAGGTCTCCTAAATGTGGGTCTAAGGACTGACCCGTGTTTCTAACCCCTGACTTGGGTGATTGCCCGGTTCCTAAGACCAGACCCTCCTGTCTCGTCAGCCCTGATCCTGGACCTGATGACAGTTGCTGGGATGCAGAAGTTGATCAAGCGCAGAGGACCGTGGGACTTCCCTCCAGGGTTTTTGGACTACATTGCCATGGATATGTATTCCTTCCCAGCAGCCCACGCTAGCCGAGCTGTCATGGTGTCCAAGTTCCTGCTAAACCACCTGGTGCTAGCGGTAGGTCACTGGTTTCTGTTCTGATTCCAGTGGATCTAACATAACTGTGCCGTTGGAGAGTGAGCTTGATGACCTCTGTCCTTCAGGTGCCGCTGAGGATCCTGCTCTACCTGTGGGCCTTCCTGGTTGGCGTCTCTCGGGTTCTGCTGGGCAAACACCACATCTCAGACGTTGGCTGTGGATTCGCTCTCGGGTTCCTGCACTTTAGCCTGGTGGAGTCTGTATGGTTGGACTCTGCCACGTGTCAGACCCTCCTCTCCATTGGCACCCTGCAGTGGACTCCTTTGGTTTAGAAGCGGTTCAAACTGGTTCAAATGGTGAAAAGATTTCTACAGACTGGTTTTTATAGATAGTATTGAATTGTGCCCTTATTTCTGAGTAAACTGTGATCAGAGATTCTGGTTTAAACTGGTCTTAACTGATTAGACTTCCTGTAGCTGGTAGAAACCAGTGAAAATGGTTCTAATCTGGTTTGAACCATTTCGGAATGGTTCCATTGCTGTACATGTAACAGCTAATTTAACTGGTTTCACAGACTTATTAGGAAAACCAGTTTTGTCCAGTATGGTGCGGTTGGTTTCCATGGTTCCTACCCTCTGTTTGAAACACTCAAGGCTAAATCTGTTCCATTCTGGTCTAAACCGCTTTAATCCAAGTACAGCTGGTTTGAGGCATTAAATGGCCGGCCAGGGATACTTTTTAAAGTTTTATTGTATTATGTTTTTGAAAATCTGGTTAGAACTGGTTGAATCTGGTATGAACTGGATTAGTTAAAGCTGTAACTTTTGATTCGATGTCTTAACACCTGTTAGCAATAGCTGTGACGGTTGAATGATGGAGATGCAGCTCTGAGGGTAAAGGTTAAATGAGTCTCGTTTCTGGGATTAAACATTTTTATTTGTTGTGGTTAGTGCAGTGATGGTGGGACAGATCACTGACATAAAGTGTTTATGTTCAAACTTTCTGATTTTAATTCTGCTAATATTTAATTTTGCAAAATAAAATGCTCAAACTCCAGATTGTCTCTTGGTGATGAAGGAACTTCTGCTTCTAATTGGAATACAATAAAAATTTGGTATTGGTTACTGTTAAAATAAAATGTCGATTTGCAACATTCTGTACAAAACTTACAGTTTTAGTAAATTTCTAATTTCAAGCAAATACAGTAAAACATTTTATAATTACTTTATTTTATTGGCAATTTAAAACCAACAAACTTTAATTTAATAAAATCCATGTCTTACCACAACACAGTTTGCTTTTTATAAGAACTGATCACAAAACATTACAATTGATCATTTAAAAGAAAGCATAACCCACATGTTTATATTATATCGTAAACACTATACATTTATTCAAACAAATGCACAAGAACAAGGCTTTTCAATTTGGATTTTTTTCACCTGAGAACCAAAAGATCTTTTGCAGGGGTATACCTGAAGGGCTCTCTCTAAGACTGAGAGGAAGGTTGTAGGTGCCACCAGAAGGTACTTCATTTTACTGAGACGTCGGTAGTCTAGACTGGGTTTAACTTTGAGGGACGGCAGCAGAATGCGCCATAAGATGTTCTGATTCTTAGGTCAGAACTGGGAGAATTACACTGGACCCTATGCAGAGCTCGCTCCTCTGCAAAGCTTAGGGACCGTCTGCAAGTTGCAAAATAATCAGAAAGAAATATTCTAAAGCGTCACCAAGGAGAGGTGGATTAATATCAAATTCATCTCATGTGTTTCATATCACATTAATTAGATTAGAAAATAATACTTTTCTGAGGACATGAAAAGGCGAGAACAGACAAAATACAATTATTCTCTATGTTTCTTTCACATAGTGAGCTTTGCAATATAAATGAGTCTGTTGGTGAATGGATGATATAAATAGGCTCTGCCTTGCCTTGTTGGAAAAGCTGGTTATGACCTGTTCTCAGCTCAGGAACTAGGACCCTATGATATCTGGTTGTTCAATAGGTTTGCCTCAATAAAAGATTTAGATCTGACTTATCAATATATTCCTGCAAAAAGGTCTGATGTTGCTAGCCTGACGTAGTCCTACTCCATTCTAGTCAGAATGAGTCTGATGCTGCTCCATAGA